GGGGAAAAACTGTTTCTAGAATGAACAACAGGGAAAATAAACGAGCAAACAAAACAACCGTCAAAACATTGAAACTGAAAAACAATATACCAGAATTGAACTTCATAGAATGTGATCGGCTTACCACAGAGGGCTGTCCCTTAAACATCCTTAACATTGTCGCCCCTGGAGAACTTTTGGGAATGGCAACTGTCGAGTCATAAATAGCTGGAACAAATGTGCGCATTTGACTTACTGTCATAACAAAACCCTGAAATCAAAGGCGGTTATATGTCTTTAGTTCAAGTCGAACCACATCTAAACTCAAAACCAAGGTTGAAAAGATCGATAGGCGCCTGGGACCGCATAGGGTGCCTAGAGCGCCTAGGTGGCCGACCGCCTAGCGCCTAGGCGCGATTTTTGCAACAGTGCTCAAAACAGATAGCATACAAAAGTACTACACGGGAATGATTGTTGTGCACGTAACAGAATATACGAAAAGCAGACAGATGATAAATCGGTAACTAGTAGATTCGATGTGTGCACCTTGGTGCGAGGAATCAAGACATTCCTTGGAACGGGTAAACCAGATGTGACAGCATATTCTTGAGCGGCTAAAAGTTTCGCCTGTGTAAAGCGCGTACCTTCAACAAAAAGTGCCAGCCAAAATGGCTGTGGGTAATCCCGAAGCCTTCGTAGACCTAACTGAAAGTAGGATCCCCAAAGTCTAAATTATATCTCAATTGGGCGTTTCAAAATCAGACGCAAGAAACAGAATACAACCACGGACAAAAAAAAATACCTTTAATGTGCTTTCGTCCTTCGCCCAACTTCTTTCAAGGAATAGATACTCAGAAAACCACATGGACCAACCGATTACCTACACAGATTTGATAATAAGTACGGAAGTTTTTTAGTCTTAGGAGCAAAGAACCGACGGGGATAAAAATTCACAATGAGTAAACACTTTGCAGAAAACATGCAAAAAGACAAGATTCTAAGTAGACTTTAACGACAACCTATGGAGTACTTTCAGATTTTTTCCTCCATCCCGAATATATTGAGCATCCTCACACGAATTCAAACAAATAAAGTTCAAACCGAACCACCCACCCACCAATAGTTAGAGTATTATGGTTCAAATCTTCAAAAACTATTGATCTACTAGAAAGACGAAGAATAAAAAGAGTCAAGAATAACATACGGGAAGGAGCTTCGATGATTTCTTCGTTACAGCTAATGCGCTACCAAGGCAACCTGATCGCTGCAGTTGTTTAACCCAAAACCAGATCAGCATAAGTCCAATTTCATATTCATTAAATGAAATGAAATCATATAACGAAACCAATAAGACATGAACCTGAGCTAAAACCCATCCAACCAGCCAATCTATATCGCTTCGGTGATTGCATATGAGAAGAGCATGCTCTTTACCTGGGAAAATTAACAAATACACCAACAATAAGAATCACTCGAGAAGACATCACAGCAGAATTTATAAGCTTATGCATTCAACAAATAAAAGCCATACCCATTAATTTACGGGTCTCTGGGTCTGTGTACACTTTAATCTGCAAAAATAACAATTCAACTATGAAAACAGTATAAAATATAAGTTAAATCGTCTGTTATTAACAGTTATTCCACTGTCAGTAAGTTGCCAGTTTGCCACAGAGCTCAGTTGGCAATAAAGACACAGAACAGTTCTATCAATAAACTAATACGATTCAAACTGAATAATGCAATCAAATAAAGGATGGAATTCGATGATTACCTTAACACCTGCCCACCAATCAACAAGCCAAACCACCTCCAGCCACAACAATTCAGCAAACACCCTATTTATTCTCCTATATAAGCTCTTTGACAATGGCCTTATAAGGATAAAGCATGTGGCCTGCCATTTTTTACAAGAAAGGTAAACCCCATTATCTCCAAAGAGTTTTATCACACACTCAAAACATAAATTTATGGATAAAAAACACATATATGCTTGAGCCTAGCAGCCCCAGTTTGGGAGTTTCGCCCTCTTGTGCGGTGGCTCCTTTGGGAGGCTACCATTGAGCCACCATGATTTACACTGGGGGGCGAGTGTTTTCGCCTTTGTGGGCAAAAAAACACATAAATGCTTTGTACCAATCACCAATAATTAAAAGTTACCCACCCTACCAACTACACAAAAGAAAGTACAATCCAAACATGCAATGCTACAGAGTTCTATTCAACAACAAAAAAGAATATCTCCAAATACCCAGACAACATCAACCAGATATCCCCACCAACTTTAACTCTCATCCCAGTCGATTTAAACGGCCAAGATCAAATTTTTATGTAAAGGGCATCAGGGAAAAACCTGAATGAGATTGGTAATGAGACCAGAGATGAAGAACATGAGGCCCAGAGGGAGAATAATTGCAGCCGCAAACGCCATGATCGAATCCCTTTCCGGTCCCGACCAATACAAAAGTATAGATAGATACAGGGAGATAGATATACAGGGTGAGATCAGGGATCGAGGTGAATGAAGAGAGCTGAAATGACACTGAAGAGCAGAGTAATCTGTGCAATGTTCCGTAATCCCTATAAACAAATAAAATCAATAACAAGCCGATAATCTAGCAAGGCATTCTTTTGATGATGAAGATTTATGTATTTATATATACTGTATATATGTGTTTCAGTGAATCCGATGGGAACTTGGAAGGTTGATGAACAGCGGAAGAATCGAGGGTGGCACTGCAATCTGCTTTTGAATGCCCTTTTCCCGTTTCAAGAATCTCCAGCAATTTGTATATTGATCGATTATTTTAAATTATTGTTGTGCTCTTCTAGTCAATAACTCAATGCTCACGTAATTATATTAGTTGCAACTAATGATGGGAAAATCATATGATTCCAAAGCTGCTTTATGTTTTATGAATTTGTTTTGATTTTTAACTTAACAAGAATTATAAGTCATGGATTTAGTTAACCTAATATACTAGTTTTAGACTTTTATTACGTAAAGTGTCTCAATATATTGAGAAAATATCAAATAGGTCCATAAACTTTATTCGAAAAGTTAATTAAGATTCTAAATTTTTGAAAGTTGTAATTAAACCTATAAACATGTCATTTTAGTGCATTTAAGTCCAAACATGTCAGTATGAACATAACTCGGGTGTTTTTGATAAAAAACTAAAGGTACCTCCAAAATGGTGAACTTTCTTATGGAGAGCCTTATGTGATATTCTCCACACCACAAACAACTTGCTTTTAAAGAGGGTAGAAGTGGATCCTACATGCCCAATGTGTAGTTTGACACATGAAAATGTTATGCATGCATTTAATATTTTGTGATTATTCTAGGTTTGTGTGGAATGTTTTAGAGCTTCCTATCACAAATATTGTAACAACTTCTTTTCCAGTGTGGCTTATTTTTACGGAGGAAAATTGCAGACGTGTGACGGTTGTGCTCTATCACTTGTGGATTGCCTGAAACTCCGCCGTATGGAACGAAGCACTGCTGCGGGCGAGCCAAACTTGGAGACGAGCAACTGCGGCATTGCTTGCATATCAGCAGGCTCACAGTAGCCACTCACACCGAACCGAGACGCCCAATGCCGTAGAGGAGACGCATGCTACCCGGACTCGTTGCTACATTGATGCAGGATTCAAACCGACGTTTGGGGAGGCTACGTACGACGCCGTATTGCTCTCTCCGAATGGTTCTTTCATGGCGACGACAAACGGAAAGCTACCAGACTGTTTTTCCCCGCTTATGGCAGAGGCACTAGCTTGCAAGGAGGCGCTATCTTGGCTCAGGGAACGAAACATGTCAGATGTGGATTTTCTAACCGACTGCTCAGAACTGAAGAATTCCGTCCTATCACACTCAACGACCATTATGTCCTACGTTGGGGTCATTGTGGACCAATGCAGGGCATCTATGTCTTTATTTACTCGTTGCTCTCTGAGCTTTATTTCTAGATCACTGAATTTACATGCTCATACATTAGCTTCGATAACATTTACTTAGGAACACTCTATGTACTGGGACTCTGTCCCACCTGACTCTATTGCTATGTTCGTTCATTAATATATTGCAGTTGATTGCTTTAAAAAAAAGTCCAAAAATTGATTCATGATCTATAATAGCATGTCATTAGAGTTCCGGTGACCTTCCGATCAATTCCGTGCGACTTTCCTACCAAACACCAACAAACTCGCGAGAAAGCGACCGGATTTGGTCGCTTTGTACTTTGGAACCTTCTCCGATAGACCAAAAGGCAACCATATATGGTCACATTCTATTTCGGAAGAAGGCGACCATATGGTAGCCATATCCAGAAGACTAGAAGGCGACCGTTTTGGTCTCCTTCTTCTCCTAGAGAAGGCAACCAGCATAATTTGGAGTAATCATCTACAAATAAACAAAAGTAGCGAAAACTACTAAGTGACAATACAGGGGAAGACCCCCAAATATCAGTAAATATCAAGTCTAGTACATTTTTGCTAGAATGTGACATGCTATAGTCAAGGGACCATTTTGGTAATTAACTCGTTTTGTTAGCTGTTTGATCATAATTGATATTTGACACACACATTAATTTATTTGGACTTTCAATTTTGTGTTTGTGTAATATGAATATTAATTGGGTTGATCTTTTAGTACAATAACAATAATTCACCTGCTTAACTATTTTTTCGAGATAATTATACTTTTAAAATTTATAAAAATTTACAATGAGTATAAATCAAAAGTTTTAAGATATTGTCCCCTCATACTTTTAGAGTAGGTAAGAGATTTATGAATTTATTATAATTATTATAAATACCATAAATATATTAGGAGGTGTTTGGTTTACAAAATGTGAGGCACTAATCGAACAGTAGACGCTATTTAAAATGATGATATAACATTATCAAATTCACATTACCTAGTAATTTTAGTTTAAAAAATTCTCAATAAAATTATAGAAATTTTGATGAATCTAAAAAACATAAATAGAAAAATTAAATTAAATTATTCAACCAAAAGGAGAAGGGAAAAAGATAAGTAGCAAAAACCCCAGAAGGGGATGATTCATACTCAGTGTAACCCGGGACGGATAGAGGAAGGCAGAGAGCACAGTAAGAAGCGGCAACAATGGAGAAAGCAAAGAAGAAGAGCACCAATAACGACAAGAACAATAGCAACAAATCTTCGAAACCAGCTATAACACTCGAACAGTTTGTCTCAATCATGACTCCTCTGATTGACTTGGAAAAGGTTATATTTTTATCCATCATCATACAATTAAAGCTCGAATTTTTGCAGTATGTTATGTGTCATTTAAATTATCTTCAATGTCGCGGTGTTGTTTACTGTTCGCAAAATGCTGATATGATTCTCTGTTGTGGGCACATGGTGTTAATTAGGAAGCTGAGATTTCAGCTTCGGTGAGCTCCGCCGAGACGAGAAGTTTGGATGCTGCTCAAAGGAAGGGATCCACTATTCTCAATTTGAAGTGTGTAGATATTCAGGTAGTGTGTGTGTATGTATATCTATTTTCCTTGTTGCTTTGTGTACAAATAGATATATGTAGTTGGTTTGGGTTGGTAAGCTTAGTGTTGTCTTTGTGTGTAGACAGGGCTGATGGGCAAGACTATTATCGAGTTCCAGTCCAATAAAGAGGATGTTCTTCCCCCTCACAAGGTATTATCAATAGTTTATTAGTGTTGATTGCTACTCTTATGTTGAGTATGCACAGAGAGTTCAAAAGACAATATCAATGGAGGAAGGAAAATGTAAAATATGTTGTGACTTTACCTCTGTTTTTCAGCAAGATTGTTTATAGGACTTGAACCTATGACCTAAAGGCCGATGGGTGAGCACTTGGACAATATGTCAAATCCAACCTCTGAACTTTATGCTTTTGAGTGATGACTAATTGACTATATTCTATTGACTGAGACCCTTGAGTATATTTCGCTTGACATTGAGTTATTCTATGTTTCTCACACATTTCCTCTGAATTTTGTTTATAGGATATTCTAGGTTTCTGACATATTTCCTTCTAGTTATTTTCATTTTTGGTCCTAATAGTCTCTGGCATCTTTTCCTGAATAAACTTTGGATTGGCAGTTTGGCACCCATGATGTCATTATTTTGAAACCAAACAAGGCTGATTTAGGCTCTCCTTCACTTGGACAAGGAGTAGTTTACCGACTCAAGGTAATGTTGCTGCTTGACATTTATCAACAAACAGAAGTAAAAGGAAAAAGATATCAAGCATATTTTAAAATATATGGAGTAATTTGAATCTAGCATATAGGTGGTTTGCTGGAACATTACTTTGATATTCATTATTGCATTTTGTATGGAACAGGACTCATCTATCACTGTTGCTTTTGATGATATTCCAGAAGAGGGATTAAATAGTCCATTACGTCTTCAGAAAGTGGCAAATGAGGTAAAGTATGAATTAGGAAGCTTGTAGTTCACTTTGATTTTAGGTTTAGTTGATTTTTATTTCCTTATTTTATGAAATGATTTCTCTTCTCAATTACGGAGTATTATTTTACAGAGTTCGGTTCACTGTGAAATGTGTATGTACAGAAAGGAAGTTTGATAATAACACTGCTAAGAGGCTTTCTAAAGTCAAAGTTTTGAATCTTTCCAGATTTTTTTTTAACATTATGAAGATTTCTTTGTGTCTATCCACGAGTTGAAATACTTTTTTATTAGTTCTCATATATGTCATCTTATTAAATTTGAAAATGGGCAGATTCAATATGCATTTGTCTTGTGAAGTGTCATGAAGGTCTTGAAATTCTCCAGATAGAGGAAGAGGCCATTTTCAGATTATTGTTTCATTTGGAGTTCTTTTTGCAGGTGACATATCGCCGGATGAAGGACACATTAATACAATTGAGCAAAGGTGTTCAGAAAGGCCCTGCTTCTGACTTGGTTCCTGTTTTGTTTGGAGAGAGATCACCGACAGTGTCTAAGAAGGATGCCAAGTTCACCCTCTTCAATTCCAATCTTGATCATTCCCAGGTCTTCAAGTTCTCATCATTTTCTATATCTGTAAAGGATCTGAAGGTCTTGAAGCCATAAGAGAATTACTGTTCAAAATCCGCTGCCTTTAAGTCATTTTGTCTATTTATGCTTCCTTGTTTAATATCTCTGCCAAGCAACATTTATGCTGCATTCTAGCTTTATAAAGTTGAAGGGATAAAATAAAAGATAACATGCCTTTTTTGCTAAATAATTAATGACCCTGCAAGCTAATTTTCTATCGCAGTGTTGATTCTTCTATTTTGTTTGTACCAAAAGTTTTGCATCTGATACCAGTGGACGCCATTGTAGAATCAGTATATCCAATGCGACCCCATAGTGGAAAAGAGCTTTGGTTTGGTGTTGATTGCATTTTGATGGAACTGTACATCTTGTCTCATTTGACAATTCAACCAGCAATAGGCTCTGATTAAATGATTCTTATTGCTCTTTTAGACTCCATATTTTGTTCTTCCTTGTGTCATCATATAATGGTTTATATAGACAGTTTATATTTGTTTTAATCTGTAAGTATAGCCTAAAAGATATTCTCTTCATTTTCAAAGAAAGATGCCATTGCAAAGGCTCTTTCATCCAAGGATGTATTTTTGCTGCATGGACCTCCTGGAACGGGGAAGACAACCACTGTTGTTGAGATCATCTTACAAGAAGTGAAACGGGGATCGAAAATTCTTGCTTGTGCTGCTTCAAACATTGCTGTTGATAACATTGTTGAGCGGCTTGTTCCTCACAAGTAAGACTACATTTTGGCAATTGCTTTGTTATCTTCATAAGCAACAATGCCTATTTACAGTGAGATTTAAGATGAAATTTGAAATGGTCAGAAACATGAAAGTATTATTGCGTTATACTATTAATTAGTCAGCAATATCTCCTCTGACCAATATTTTGGCATTTGCCTTTTGCTCTTACCACATGTATTCTGAATTGTCTATTTATAATGATGTTTACTTTGGGTAAGACTAATACAACTTATTCCAGAGAGATGTTATCTCAGTTTCCTTTTCAATGTGATTCTCATCACCTAATACTTCCAATTAATCACAATTCCTTATGTATAATTGCTTAATACATTTTGGTAATGTAATATCTTGTGGATGCTCAAATTGTTTATTGTTGTGTCTATTATATGACCAGAGTGAAGTTGGTGAGATTGGGGCATCCTGCTCGCTTACTCCCTCAAGTATTAGACAGTGCTCTAGATGCTCAGGTAATATATTTGCTTAAATGCTTATATATGTATATGTGTGTGTATTAATTTTCAGATATTCACTGAAATACTGTTATATTGCTTTTGCTGTTGTTTCTCTTGTTGTATCACACTATCACTGTGTTATGTGGGTTGATATTGGATGAATGCTATTCTTTTTAATAGAATTTTCCTTGGGGAAGATTAATGTATTTATTGTGGTTTGATTTTTTTTTTCTCAGGCCTTTTTATCTTGGGTAATAACTATACCTTCAAATCTATGTCATGTAGGTGCTTCGCGGTGATAATAGTGCACTTGCAAATGACATACGCAAGGAGATGAAGGTAAATGATGCCTAAAGCATAACCAGTTAATTTATTGACTTGGCAAGAAAGGTTTGCTTTGCATTAGAAATTTATGACTTTGAACATTGTAAAATCCTTGGCAGTCATACTCTAGTAATTTCCTAAGGAATTGATGACACAAATTATGGACAAAATTCTATTCGTTTTTGCAGTTTCCCAACCTTTTATGCCAAAATGCTATTATGTAAACTTGGAACCTCAATCTTCATGTATGTGTAGTTCATAATTTCCCTCTGCAGGCTTTGAATGGGAAGTTGTTAAAAGCTAAAGATAAAAACACTAAGAGAGACATTAGAAGAGAGCTCAAGACTCTTTCCAAGGAAGAGCGTAAAAGGCAGCAACTAGCAGTGACTGATGTAATCAAGAATTCAGATGTGGTATTAACAACCTTGACTGGCGCATTGTCCCACAAGTTGGACAACACTTCATTTGATCTAGTTATAATTGACGAAGCTGCCCAGGCACTTGAAATAGCATGCTGGATTGCTCTACTGAAGGTAATCTGGAAGTCTGATGATTATGTCTAGTTATTTTTCTACTCTCTAAGCTAATCTAAAGGATTAATTTCAAGGGTTCAAGGTGTATATTAGCTGGAGATCACCTCCAGCTTCCTCCAACCATTCAAAGTGTTGAGGCTGAGAAGAAAGGATTAGGGAGAACCTTGTTTGAACGTATTGCAGACTTGTATGGGGATGAAGTCATGTCTATGCTCACTGTCCAGTACCGCATGCACGAGCTTATAATGAACTGGTCATCCAAAGAGCTTTACGACAGTAAGGTATGGAGCCATCATACTTAAATATTAGAGCATGAAAAATTGATTGTGATTGATGTGAACTGCTAATACATTATGTTTCTAAAAATATTCAGATCTAATTCCATGTGTCATTCTGCTGAATTGTTGTTCCAGATTGAAGCACATGCGAGTGTTGCTCAGCATATGCTGTATGAACTTGAGGATGTGAAAACGTCATCTTCAACAGAGTCAACCCTTGTCCTCATAGACATAGCTGGGTATGCTATTTATGATTTCAACTGACGTTCTTCCAGCTCATGGTCAAATGAAAAGTTTTTGGGGAAGTAGATTATGGTAAATTAAAACTCAAATCGTTTCTTACTTGAGACGAAATGAGTGGCTCTTTGTATACACATGCGTTTTGTTTTTTGTTTTGTTTGTGTGTGCGCGCGCTTAGGGAAGAATAAGTCAGATATAATTTTGATGTTTGCTAGTTGCTATATTGTGTATACACACAATTTTGCTAGTGTAAAGTATTCCATGGCAATGCCTAGACAGGATGATAGGTACAGGATAATTTTGCTGTTTGTTACTGCTCACTCCTTAATGGCATCTGTTTCAGTTGTGACATGGAAGAAAAAAAGGATGAGGAAGATAGCACATTGAATGAGGGTGAAGCTGAGGTTGCTATTACCCATGCAAAAAGGCTTGTCCAAAGTGGGGTGCGAGCTTCTGATATTGGAATAATCACCCCTTATGCAGCACAGGTATAATCATTCTAAGATATGCCCAAAAAACATAGGTGCATTCGGCTATCTACAGTACTCACATGGTACTAAGTTGCTGTTGCGATTTAGGTTGTCTTGTTGAAAGTGTTGAGAAGCAAGGAAGACAAGCTCAAAGATATGGAGATCTCTACAGTTGATGGTTTCCAAGGTCGAGAGAAAGAAGCCATCATCATTTCAATGGTGCGATCAAACTCAAAGCAAGAGGTATTTATGGTTTTATGCACTTCTGGAGGAATTTTAGTTGCTACTTAAGCAGCTAATATCTTGCCTTGAGTCAAAGCCTGATTATGAATTTCATTTTTAGGTTGGATTTCTGAGTGACCGCAGGAGAATGAATGTTGCCGTGACACGAGCAAGAAGACAATGTTGTCTTGTCTGCGACACAGAGACTGTCAGTAGTGATAAGTTTTTGAAGCGTTTGATTGAGTACTTTGAAGAGCATGGTGAATATTTAAGTGCTTCAGAATATGCACATGATTGAGTTCTTGATTATTTGAAGAATTTGTATTGGTGGTATACTGAGATTTGGAGAAAACCAGCTTACCCCTTGGTGCTGCACCTTCAGATGCATTTTACCATATTTTGAAACAGAATAGTTTCATGTATAAGTAATTCATTCATTTACGATGCTGGCTATGATACTCTTATTATCCAATGGCATATGAAACATTTTGCCGCGAATTTTGAATTGATGACTTGCAATGCAATCATGCAAAATTATGTCTGAATTTTCATTTGGCTTAAGAATTTGGTTCTTTACATGGTGGGAAATAGCTTGTGTGTGTGTTTGCGTGCTTGTGGTGAAGCAGCTGACTTGACCCCGTAAAACCTTTCTACAAGGATTTTCAACCTGCCAGGTACCTTGTATTCAGGTTCAGTTCAGTTACGATTTGATCATTCATTCACACTCCAATACTGCATATTTTGTTTGTGCAGATCTAATCTTGCACGGCGTAGATTGCTGACAAAGGCTCACAGTGATAGTTTCACGGGTTGTGATGTTATTGTGAGTGTTTCTTTTGCCTGCCAAATTATTTTGTCATCGTAGAACATAAGAGTATTTATCTGATAACCGGTATTTGTATCATCTTGTATTAACCTGAAGTTGAAATGCCTGATAGAAATGAATCTGTTAGTTGTTTGTTATGGAGTATATGATTTTTGCACCAAAAACGTGTTAAATGAGTTATCAGTAAACTGTTACCGGGAATAATATAGGTTTTCAATTACACATCACAGCTATGATATTTTATTAATTTATTATACGTATTTAAATCTAGTGACAACAAAATCCTTGTACCCTTTTCCATACTCAAAGGCCAAGAGGACTCAGACTATAATAAGTTTGATCCTTCTCCCCTGATATTGCCCCTACCAAGAAGTATAAATTTTAGACCGAGTATTGTTAACTAACAAAATCACCTCATTTCAGAAGTTCCATACAGACGGGGGAAAGCTGAGGTCATCATTGATATCATGTAAGTATAAGCTAGTGGCGTCTACTGTTTGATTATCTTCTGTTCCTGGTATTGCTTCCAGTGTGTCCCAATTGTAGGTTTTGTCAGCAAAGACATCAGCTTCACTGTCACCGAGTGAAGGTTCTGGTTCTGGTTCTGGCTCTGGCTCTGGCTCGGGGAAACAATTGGACAAGTCATGCACGTCTGACTTATCTTCTTTTTGAAGTATTCCCAACTGCTGGAGGAATTCATTTAGATCGATCTGAGGCTTCTCTTCGCGATTTACTAGTTTCTCCCCAGATGAGAAGTCCGGTTCCTTCTCCGTTGTTTCTTGATTAACCAACCCGGGTTGTTCCATCATGTTGAGCATCTCACTGGAAGATGAGCTCGACGAGGAAGCATGGCAGCTTGCTTCCGTTTTCTTCAGTTCTTGGAGGCGTTGGTGAATGACGTGTACACTCGGCTGGGCGCTCAGGTTCAGCAACCCGCTGCTGGGGAACAGGGAAATGAAGTTGGTGGAAGGGAACCACTTGAACTTATTGTGGTGCGTAGATTTGTTGATGAGCGGGTTGATGTTGGATCTCAAGTGGGGAAGATTGAGGTAAGCTTCCGGGCCATAAAGCCTCCTCGCGGCCTCATCATAAGCCATGGCAGCCTCTTCAGCCGTGGCGAAAGACCCGAGCCATATCCTCGTCCTCTTCTTCGGCTCTCTTATCTCCGCCACCCATTTCCCCCAGGTCCGTTGTCTAACTCCCCGGTACTCGCACATAGCGTTCTGCGGCCCGCCTTTTCCTCTTGCGGGGCCTTTCTTCCATGGCTTCAATGGGTTTCTTCTATAGTTGTCCATTGTTGGGTTGGAGTGAAGAAAAGAAGGAAGTGTGTTATGTGGAAGTGATGAGTGTAGAGAATGGAGGTGAAGGCGCGGGATATGTATAATGTGATGAGATGAGTGTATAAATGTAGTCACGTTTGTATATAGTTTTAGCGCCCATGTGACCCACCGTTGCTGCTGAAAATTTGTATGCATTGTGATTGTTTCATTGGTGTATGAACATTCTATTGCGATTCCACTACTTACCACTAAGTGACACCTCACTCTATATATTTTGATTACCTAGGTTTTGTGCTTTGCCATATTATATCTTGGATTTCATGAACTCGCTCATCAAATTGTATATTTTTGCGCACAGAAAGCTTAACTCAAAACCTTCAATGTTCGTGGAAGGAATCAAACTCATATCATGTTGCTGGAAGCAAGTGATGCTTCTCATTCACTAAACTAATGTCATAGGGCATGCTTTATTCTAGATTCAGGAATAGCGATAAAACGTCAATTCAGTTGTGATATGTTATTCCAAAGGCCCTAAATGGGATAGTCAGGTGAATGAAGCATGATTTTTGTACCAAGAAATCATCACGAATTTAATTTTTGTCAACATTTTCTCAGTCAAGTCCAGAACAACCCGATAAAAGTTTATCTGTCTATCAAGATTTATCAATGATACCTGCTTATTTTGTTAAAAATTGATGGTTTTATTGAAAACTAACCCGGCCTATTCTCTTTTATTTTTCAACAATCTTCAACTGTTAATCTATAGATCCTATTCTCACCTTAACTCTCCTTATATAGGTGATTAGGTGTGTGAAGTGAAGCAAGAAATATATGGAGGTTTGAAGTGCAAAAAATGTTGGCATTGCAGGTTGGTTAGAATGAGGGAATGGAAATGGTGAAAACAGAGCGTTAATGGAAATATGGTGAAGGGAGTAGATAATGGAGTCACATTCAATTCAGTGGTACAGTTGAGCTCCTTGGATTCTATCCCATGACGGCGGCGCGGCGGAGGAGGGAGAAGCAAGCTAAGGTGGTCGGAGTAATTAAGAAAACCACTTCTACATTGTACATTTTAAACAGTCACAAGCTATTGTAATATTCAATTTTTTTTTCACATGTTTTTCTAACATTCACACCCTGATTCCTGAGACCCTTCTCTCTCTCATCACCATTATCCCATGCATAGACTGCACACTATATTATATATATATATCCACAAACTAACCTTCTCCCAGTTTCTCTTTTCAACAAAAAAAAATAAAAAAAAAAAATACAAAAACTCAGAAGGCAAGATTTTACCTTCTGCACATTTGGATAGTGATTATGAGTTTTCCTCATCACTCAAAAAAATTAATTTAACGAGACATAATTGAACGAAGAAATTAAAGTCCTACATTGGTCCACTATGACCCAAACATAGGACATTATACTCATTGATTCCTGACGTATAGCATTTCGAAGCAATTGACGTATAGAGCCTCCTTACATGTCAAGGCCTCTGGATTTGGATTATATGATTATGTGAATATGTAAATATGTATTGTTTGGTAGTATGTTTGAAAAATTAAAAAAATGTTGAAATTTGAGGATCTTAAATTGAATCAAATTAAATCCGAGCCGAAATCAAACCGTTTCAAACCGAATGATTAAAACCGAACTGAATTCTAATGTTAAACCAAATAGTTTAAATTTTTTAAAACCGAAAAAACGAAATCAAAACCAAATCCAAAAAAAAAAAAAAAAAAAAACGAATCAAAATTCGAAACGCCTACATTGATTAATAGATCCCGACATCAAATCTGGAGTAGTATTAGTTTAGTTTTCAGTTCATTTTTTTAATAAATAAATTATAGTCCGTAACATTCAAAAAAATTATGGTGTAATTACTTTGTCATATATAGCAACCATTTTAGACTAGAAGTAGTTGACTAGAAAGTGGATAAAAAGTCAAGGTCCTTATAATAGTTAGACATATATAATTAAGTTTTAAATTTTCTTAAATAAAGTCAATTATATTATTAAATGAATGATGGTTACATATATGTAAATTTACTTTTCTCGATGAAATTAATAGAGTAAGATAATTTCATCATTTTCTGCACAATTTTTTTGGACGACATAAAAAATAAGTAATATATTATAAGAAAAGTAATATTTGTGCAACAAGTTCAACAAAAAGAAATATTTAACCAGATCTAACTAGTAACCTCTAGTATTAAGAATCATGTTTGACCACTTTACCGTTCGGGACTTTCTACACCATTTTAGTCATGGAATCAAGCATCATGAAAGGTTTCAAATGGTAAAAGATTACATAGCATATGAAAAAAGAAATCAAGAATTATAGACTGAAGAACTCAAGAAAGCAACCTTCTAACAACTATGTTTACTTGATCAAACATTTGTGAAAACAGAGGTAGCAGTACTAGGTTTGTTCTGCGGCCAAGAAACATTAATCTTCCCTTTCTTCTTCTTCTTCATCCACATGAAGATCAATCGAACCGTGTTCCCGAACATCAGCAAACTCATGACACAGCACCAAACCGTGACAGAAATCTGAATCACATTACTCAACTGCGCCCGGTACTGCTTGGGGGTGATGATGACAATGGCGATGCCGTAGGACAGCGCAATCGTGGTGACGGCGAGCCACATGATCACCATCAAACCCCACAGGAAAGGCCGGCGCCGGAAGGGCAGTCCGCTTATCAGAAGCAGAATGGTGCTGAGGGAGGCGACGAAAGCTGTGGTGTTTGTCTTGATGAAATAGCGGTATGCCTTGGCGTGATTATATGCCATCACCGCTTCCCCCGCCTTGTGCGGCTGCGGGGATTCTGAATTCTCCTGCCAGACTCCTCCCGGAGGGTTTACTCCGGCCTGGAAAGCCATGGTGGCGATGAGGGACGCCACCACCATTATGGAATCGCGTTTTCTTGATAACCAGTCTCCGGCGGGGGTTTGGTGGTTGTTGTTGGTGGTGGTGGTTCTGGGTTGGTGATGATGATGAGTGGTGGAGATTTCCTTGGCTCTTAAGGCTCCGGCGTCTCGGAGCATCTCTCCGATCTCGAAATCGTTTGTGTCTTTCTTCAGGCCTTGTGCTAGAACATCTAATGCTGTGTAGCCATTTTCATTGGTGGAGTTTACAGCTATTTGACTGATGCTTAGCAAATGTTTGATAATCTGCATTTGCAAATATGACTAAATTATTGTTTGAAAATTTTGATGTTTTGGAGATTTGGGCCCTGTTTGGTAAAATGGTTGTTAGCTTGTTAATTAGAGGGTATAAATAGTTAATAACATTAGCTGATTGTAGAAAAATGTTTGGTAAATTAGCTGTTAGCGGATAACTGTTTGGTATAATTTCTTTTTCAAAAAGCTAATTGAAAAAGGTGCTTGGAGTAAACTTTTTGAATTTTAGCCTTTTGAAGTTGCAAAAAGTTATTTAACCAAACATTTATATTGATAGTTTAACTAAATCAAACAATTAATAGTGGTCAAATAAGTCAAAATTGACCTATATGCCAATTTTTTACCAAAAGGGCCTTGATGGGAAGGGAATCAGCGGATCGGGCATACCTCAATTTGTTTGTCGGAAACAGCCAAGTGCAAAATGGTGTTCCCATCAGAATCTGTTGCATTCATAATCTCATCAATAATCTGTCTCTCAACAGTCACCATTAACGTCTTGAGAGCTTCAATCTGATTATGCTTCACACACAGGTGGAGAACTGTTTCCCTGCCGGAGACCGTTCTCTGCTGAACCGCCGCCGGTTGAACTCCCAGCAGCTCTTTCACAGCTTCAACCCGGCCTTTCATGGCGGCAAGGTGGAGGGGATTCCTGCCGTCTCGATCAGAGGCTAAGCACATTTCTGGGTCAGCAGAAAGGAGGAGTTTTACCATCTCCAAATCCCCTCCGACGGACGCCATGTGAAGCGGCGACGATTTTCTTGAATCCAACTCCGCCGCAAGCTTAGGATTCCGGCCAAGAAGTTCCCGGGCGAACTCGACGTGACCTCGCATCACCGCTATATGCAGCGGAGTTTCGTGGAAGCAATTCAGAGTAACTCTGTCGAGAACCAGCTCGTCTTCTTGGATCAACTCACGCAGAGCTCTCACGTCGCCTTTAATGGCGGCTTCATAAACCCTTCTATCCATGTTCATCTCTTTCATCATCTCAAACCACCGAAATTAAACCGGATTACTTTCAATTCCGTTATTACCCCAATATATATATGCTACAAGTCAATGCTTAAAGAAGTAAACTGGTTTTGATTCAGTCGTCTAATTCTTTGCTAAGAAAGAACATCGTTAGTACCTATGAATGCTGGGGATAATTCGAAGAAGGTGCAGTGCAGTGAGAACACGCCTTGGAGTCATCACTAACCCATATAAACGTCACCACATTTTACTATTTATACGCGGACAACCTTAATTTATGTGAGTTCTTTCTTTTCTTTTGTGAACTCCACCTGAGAGAATGGATAAAAGTATCTATGAGGTTTTTGTATTATAGCGTTTTGTTCAACTTAATCTTTATACTTTTATTTTGTTCAATTTAGTCTCTATATTTTCAAAAGTTGTGCAATTAAAGACAATAGTTAACGGTGTTGATGTGATATAAACCCAACGGGCTTGAGGCCCAAGAGAGGAGAAAGAATGGGCCAAGGATCAGGCTTGCCGTAATGGGCCCAAAAGAGATTAGAGGAAATCTACGTTGTGGGTCGTGGGCAGGCCCAGAGGAGAGTGCAGTCGAGTCCAGGGAGTCGGCATTGGGACGTTATGCCATGGAACCGTGTTCACCATTCATGGTGAACACGGTTCTAACAGTGTTAGTACACCGTTATCTTTTTTTTTTTTTATATAATTAATTGCGTGACTTTTCTTCTTTATTTTCACATTTTGCGGTTTCACTTTAATTTGAGGTGAACAAAGATTTCGGACATTCATAAATTATGAATTCATGCCTGCACATTCACTTTGGAACTATGCCTACACATTCCCGTCCGAGATCACGGACATTCATAAATTATGAATCCATGGCTGCACATTCACTTTGGAACCATGCCTACACATTCCTGTCCGAAATCACGGACATTCATAAATTATGAATCCATGGCTGCACATTCACTTTGGAACCATGTCTACACATTCACTTTGGAACCATGAGATTATGAATTTTCTGTTATAAGATTATGAATTTTCTGTTATGAGATTATGAATTTTCAGTTATGAGATTATGAATTTTCTGTTATGCGATTATGAATTTTCTGTTATGAGATTATGAATTTTCATTACATTCATAATTTCGGACATTCATAAATTATGAATTCATGTCTGCACATTCATTTTGGAACCATGCCTACATATTCACGTCCGAAATCACGGACATTCATAAATTATGAATCCATGCCTGCACATTCACTTTGGAACCATGCCTACACATTCACTTTGGAACCATGAGATTATGAATTTTCTGTTATAAGATTATGAATTTTCAGTTGTGAGATTATGAATTTTCTGTTATGCGATTATGAATTTTCTGTTATGAGATTATGAACTTTCATAAAATTCATAATCTCATAACAGAAAATTCATAATTTGATCAAATGCGCGCCGTTAACTCCACATCCGCGAATTTTTTTTTTTTTTGCCTAAAAACGACGTCGTTTTGCCTTGTGTTCACCATTCTCGGTGAACACGATTCCATGGCATAATTTGCGGTCGGCATTGACAAGAGTCGGCCAGCAAATGACCGTTGCCCTTTAAAGAACGCCTTTAATACGAAGTCAATTCAGCAGTTGGGAAGTTCGATAACGACGACCAACGGCCCTTAGCTTTGATAAGCCCTCATTATTTCACATTTAAGTTGTATTTAAATTAGCAAGAGGTGGCCACCTATAAATAGGCCCCTTGGAGAATGTAGAAGCAAGTTTTTTTGGAACCATAATCGTCATCGGAAAATTCCTTCAAAGTCGCAAACAAGAATAGTGAAGTTCCCAGTTATCTAGTTCCTGTATTTTATTTACCGGTGAATCCACCAACCAACGGTCGTGTTGGACCCCTCCTTGGGTCCAAAAGTCCTAAAACCAACAGGTGTTAATATTATCGTTAACTTATGTTACGTGGTGCTGACGATATTTATATTCCTAATTATATATTACTTTATAAATATTAAAAATTAATTATTTTTACCATTAATATATTAAATTAGTATGTCCAAAATAAATAATTACTACTATGTTCCTAATAAGATTTAGACAATTGTCAATAGTTTCACCACCTTTTTAAAGTAGAGGGACTAAATTGAATAGAATAAATGTATAAGGACTAAATTGAAGAAAATACGATTGTACAATAAGTTCATAGGTACTTTGACTGAGAGAATGTTGACTAAAATTAAATTTTTAATCAAAGATAAATTTCTAATTCTCAAAATTTATAGTGGTTATTGAAATATCTATTTGATGAAAAGATTAATATTTATCATCAATTTATCAACATTACGTGTAACTCTCACACCAACTAACCAGAAATATAACTTATATAAAATAGAAAATGTTTTGGATAATCATTTGCAAGTTTAGAACATTCAAGGTTGCCCATTATTTTCCGCAGCCTTCTTCTTCCCGTCTAACTCCTTCATCGTTGACCTCCACCGGAAAAAAGTTCCGAACAGAGACTCCGTCTCTTCCAGCGTTCTCCCCTGCGTTTCCGGCATCAAGGTGAAGAAGAAAACCCAAGCGATGACTGAAACCCCAGAGTACATGAAGAAAGCCCCGCCGATCGTAATGGCTTTATACAGCGATATAAACGACATTAACAAGCTCCCGCTCACCGCACGATTCACCGCCACCCCGATCGCGCAGCCCTGCGCCCGCAGCCGCAGCGGGAAAACCTCCGAGCAGTACACCCACGGGATTGGCCCCAATCCGATGGAGAAGAAGGCTACGCACAGTAACGACATGATAATGCACCACGCGATCGCCCACGGCAGCTTCTCCGCTGTGTGGTCGATTATTGTCAGCCCCGTCGCCAGCCCCAACATCGATGCTATGAGTCCTGCGGGCACAAACATGTAATAAATTTATAAGAGTATATGTTAGACTGTTGAAGATATAATCATTAATGTGCAATCTAAATGATAAGCGACTATAGTCATGTGTTGCTTGGAACCCGATGCAAATGTGTTAAGCATTTGCAATTCAAGTATCAGCTTAGACTTTTAGTTGAGATGAAGCATGCTTTAATTTAATTAATGGATTGAATTCGGTCTTTTTAGAATAACTAACCGCCAACGCTGGTGAGAAGCAACACGCGCCGCCCGACTCTGTCGAGAAGAAAAGTGGCGACTAAACAGAAGATGGTCTTGGAGAATCCGACGCCCATGCTGGCGAGCAGCTTATCCCTGTCGGTTTCTATGCCGGCCTTCTGGAATATTCTGGGACTGTACATAACCACCGCGTCGATGGCGCTCAGCTGCTGAAACAAATGGATGCCGACGCCGGTCAACAGAATGTGGCGGACCTTGGGCGTCGGCCGGAGGAACAGCTCCCTCCACACGCCCTTGCCGCCGCCGGATTCCTTCTTGACTTCTATGACGTCATCCTCGTAGTCCTCCGGTATCCCCGCCGCTTCTTTGATGTCTGCTAGCCTCCGCCGCGATTCTTCCATGGAATCCGAAGTTTTGTCCAGAACCTTCTTCGCCTCGCCGAGTTTTCCCTGCATCACCAGCCAACGAGGTGACTCCGGCATGGCGAGGACGCCGAGGGCCAATATGGCCGACGGAATCACCCCGATTCCCATCATTAATCGCCATCCCAGATTCAATGGAAGCTTCGCAAATGAATAATTTGCAACGAATCCAAGTAAAACACCTGTCCATATTATTGTCCAAAAATTTGAATTAATATAACACACAAATACTTATTAAAATCTATGGCATAATATTAATATATTAACTATGAATAAAACCTAAGCTGGTCATGATAATTTTCCTTTAAAAAAATGATAATTGTATAGTGTTGTAATAAATAAGTCACGATTGCACTACTAAACAAAGTAACAAAAAAGTTATAGGAGTGAGCACGATAAAGATGACACAACTGAAGAAGGAAAAGATATTGTCGTTTAGCACTTTAGCAGCCATCATATGTATGTAGAGTATCAACAACAACTTTTTTTTTTTTTTTTTGGGAAACAGTATCAAGAACAAAATTAAATCACATTTTGGGGAATATTTTAAAAAAATAAGCATCTATCGTCCAAACCCTATCTTACCTATATTCGAGAATAAGATACAATCACACAAATTAATAAGGAATATACCCCAGGCTACGATGCTCTTCATATATACCCAAGGTTTAATCAGGTATAAGTTGTCTCAAGATCTGAATTATTTTTTGACCTGAATCGACCAGAGTGTGGCATTTGACCGACCCTAGCCGCTAGTTAATTAACTCGTTGCCCTAATAAGTTGTTGCCTTATTCTTGTTGCGCTCGGGTTCGACATGGATAGATGCTCATCCCAAACCCCCGAGCATGATTACTCAACGAATCATGCAAGCAATTAACTAGACAGAAACATTCTTACACGTGATTGGTCCTCTTTAATCAACCGGATTATCGAATGCATGGAGGACCCACGGTGTATACATGCCGACCTCTCGGCATGTGTCCTATGAATTCTTATAAATACCCCACGACGCAATGATAAGGAAAACTAGGTGGCTACTTCTCTATAACCCTATTTAGCTCGGAAACCTCCGGCCTCACCCTTAATTATGAACTTAATCTCTTGAACCAACAAGTAGACTTCTCAAGGACCTAAGCCCGATCCAATCTTCTATAAGGCGGTATTTTATCACATCACAAATATTGCATTTAATATTGTATATGAGTAAATTGTTTTATACGGAGTATATATTAGAACGTGCAGGCTAAAGTTCAAAATAAAAGTCAATGTTGGATGTCACTTACACAAGATTACAAGTTAAAGATAAAATAAAATAAAAGGAATACCACGTACCGATACTTAGCTTTTCGATGCGTAAATTAAAGAAGTGGATCGGATCATAATTCTTATAAATTTTCTACTTTCTCTAATAAATTCATACTTATACGATACGAAAGTTTACTTATCATTTTCAAGAAGAATATTAGGAAATAGAGCAAAGGGTAGAAGTGTAAAACCTTGAAGAACCACCACCACACAAAAAGAAAACGTACCAAAGTTGATAAACACTTCCGGGAAAGAAGTGAGGAAGCCACGGATAGATTCCGGCGCCACCTCGGCGGAGTACACCGGAGCAATCATCAGGGCGTAGCCGACGCCGATTCCGGCCACGAAGCGGCCCACCATGAGGAAAGCGTAGTTGGTGGCGAAGCCCATCAACACCGCTCCGACGAAGAACACGCACCCCGCCACCACGATGGTGTACCGGCGGCCTATCAAGTCCGACGTCCTCCCCGCCACGGCGGAGCCGACGAGCGAGTATATGTTGATTGTTCCGATCAGGAACTCGACTTGGACGTCGGAGATTCCGAGATCTTGCTTGATGTAAATCGACGCGCCACTCATCACTCCCGTATCTGCACGTAAATAAATATCCATGCATATACATACATATATCATATCATGTAGTTTTTAACTTTTTATATTAACAAATCCGAAACAAAAAAAGAATTTAAAATAATAATTCTCACCATAGCCAAGTAAAATAGAAGTCATGGAAGCTAAGAGAGAGCAGGCCAGGGCGTATTTGTTCCGTTTTGGTTTCTTTGGAGGGCCGAGATCCGCCGGCAACAATGATGTGGCCGGCGGAGGTTTGGCGGAGTGAGAAGCCATGAGAAGATTGACAACAATTATTGGAAGCTTATAGGACTATAAGTAAAGTTTGGAAAAAATAAAATGAAGAATATTTTTAACTCGTAATCACTATTTAAAGATGTGAGCAATCAACAAGGCATTAGATTCCAAATGAATTTTCATAAGTTCAAACTCGAATGGTAAGGCTTAAATTCTTAATGCTGAAAAAGTTTGAGAAAGTATAGAAGGTATGTTACCTTGTAAAGAACCATGAATATGATATAAAATAGATAAATTGTAATAAAGATAATTATGTATAATAAGTTTAACAAAAGAAATATTGTTAAAATTTATATTTATAATTTTTAAATACGAGAATTATGAATTATGTTGTAATTATTTTTTTGGGGGGAGAAATGAAGAATTTTTTGTGTGAGAGAGTGAGAGACGCAAGTGTTGACTAGAGGTCTTTTGATTTCACGTGGTGTGTTTGTGCAATTGTGCTAAAGAGAAGGACATCCATGCCCATACCTACCATCTTTCACAAATAAATATTCCATAAAGTTGTCCAAAAAGAATCTTAAAAGATACTCAAAAATATTTTGAATGTTATATACAAAAATTATACGGAGTATTACCTAAATTAAATTTGAGGGAACTTAATATGTTATTGATTCAGATATTTTTATTTAGAAAGTGAGTATTATCAAATAAATTGATTAAATAAAAAAAAAGATAATGAAAACAAAAACAAAAAATTAAATAGAAAATAAAGGACAAAAAAGTGAAGTAAATAGGCCCCTAGAGTTTTTATTAGTTGGAAATAACCCTTTTGATCAAGACAACTTAAGAATTTTTTTTTGAAAGTCAAAAGCATCAGAATGCATTAATCAAACGCAGGGACTACAAAAGGAGGATTATCTCTCCAAACAGAGCGTGTGAAAACGGCACTTACATCCTTAGCGAGGGCATGAGCCGCCCCGTTGGTGTCTCTACTAGTATAACTAACCGTAGTACCAGACATAGAAACTAATAACTATAAACAAGAGTGTAAAACTAGACCAACATAAGACCGAAAATAGGATGAATTGCTAAGACTTGAGACCAAAACTAAGCAATCTGAGTAGATTCTGACGCTTGTGAAGCCGTTATCCTTGAGCCATGAAAGAGCTTCGCACAATGCCATTGCTTTTGCCAACGGAGGGTCGTAGAGGATTTAAAATACTCCGTATTATTTATTGTTGTTTTTGACATTTAGTTAAAAGTGGTTGATAATACGACCACTAACAATGATTGTCAAAAAATTTAGACAATTAAGCCAACCAAGAAAACAAGCAATTCAATGGAGCCACAATGGAAGGTTGGACTTCCATTTGGAAGGTTGTAAGTTCGAGCCTCAATGGAGGCGTTATTAGCTCTTTGTGTTTCAGTAGGTTGAGAAAGTATATGAACAGATACTACAATGTAATAGAGCTAGTAGCATTCAAAAAAAGAAAACAAGCAATTGGCATCAATTTTCAACCACCCGGTTAAAACTAGAGATTTTGATGTGTAAAAAATTCTCAAACATTCTGTTCAGCACAAGATATTTTTATTTTTTTCAGAAAAAAAAAAATAGAGAGCGCGTTTTGAAATACAAAAAGTAGAGAATGGAGAATTTTTTTTAAAAGGAATAATGGAAAATGAAAGAAGGGAAAATTGGAGACATGAAAAAAAAAAAAAAAAAAAAAAGTAAATGCAGCCCCATATTACAAAATAGTATTTATAGGCAAACAATTTTATCAATCCAAAAAAATCTTTTTTTTTTTTTTTGTATTTAATAAAATAATATCTCTACAAAAAAAGAGAAGATACAATTGAGAATATAATTTTCCTAATCAATTACAATCAATATAACATTTTAGAAACTAATTGATACTACTCAAAAAGATCTGAGCCATCAAAATGGTAAGCTTTTTTGGAATATGCATGCAATTTAATTTTGTATAGATATCAAAATAAGCATAATTAATATTTATAACTATCCAATTAACCAATCTTCCTTATACAATTTTCTATCTATTCTCTCCTTTTCCTTTTTGTCGAGCTATAACTTTTTTTAAAAAGTACAATCTGCATAAATAATTAATATGCTAAGAGATAGCTAGCCAGATAAGCATATAGAGGAAAAAAAAAAACTTATATACAATGGATAATTATTTTCATAAAGTATTAGTTTGAGAAGGGTGGTCTAATGGGTGGAACATGTTTATCATATACTTTCCGTCATCATATCGCATATAGGTCTTTCTAATACAATTTTTCTATTTTTTGTGAGTTTGTGTGTAATATGTAAGAACGAGATTCAAACCCTTAGTAAGTGGTTCAGTGTTTTGATAAAATCAAGGAGGCTCGAACTCAAATCAACTACCAATTTTAGGTATAATGTATAAAGCTAGATTTTTTTTTGAAAAAATGTATAAAGCTAGATAATTGCATTTATAATACGAAAAATGTTATTTCCTATTTGATGGAAATGACCCATTTTTCAGAATATTGTGTCCATTTTCTAAATATTTGTTTAATTATATTGAATCCTGATATATATTGAATGATATGATGCAAAAATAAATATGGAAAGTGTTTCTTTTTTTTTTTTTTGGGAAGTAGATTTTATATATATATATTTAACGTGACTAAATCAATTATTAAAATATTTTCAAAAAAAATCAATTATTAAAATCTTTCATATTTATTTGAGACAAATCAAATTAATAAGGAGAATCATTTAAGATAAAATTATATATTATTTTGGGATTTAAAATATTAATTATTGTTGTTTTTGACATTTAGTTAAAAGTGGTCGGTAATATGACTACTAACAATGGTTATAAAAAATTTAGACAATTAAGCCAACCAAGAAAACAAGCAATTGGTAACCATTTTCAACTACTCGGTGGTTAAAAAAACAAACAAAAAAGAAAATAGTCATATATATGTATGTCCAAAAATTAATGAAAATGATATATAGATCCTGAGGGGCCAAAGCCCCAATAGATCCTTCTCGTAGCTACACTTCTAGTATCTTTATCAAATAGAGTAATAATTCTTTCAAGTGGACGGTCCAAAATCACAGTGCCCCAGTCGTTGGTTTGAACCAAGTTCGCCAAGTAACCTGCCATTGATTGCCTTAACGGACGACATGCATGAAAGATGTCAATATTTCTTATTTGTCTCATGAGAGATATGCAGTCCATAATCAATGTATCCACTTCTGACCTTGCATCTATATCACCCTTGATAGCATGAACCATCGCTTCAGAGTCGATCTCAACCAAAATCCGCACATCAATATGATTTTATTGTTAGAGGAAAAAGTAGAGAATACATATTATATGACCTATTTTTTTTCCCGTAATGAATTAGCCGAAATCATAAACTTGCAACTAATGAAATCAAAAAAGTCAAACAGATCAATGATTAACATAACTTATTATTTAAACTATAAGAGCAATCAAACCTTAAGATAAGTACATAGGCTCCCTAGACATAATACATCTAATGTCTCACATAGATTTTGTTGATAATTAGATAAAATCTATGTTGGGAGACCATTATATTACCTCCGAAATGATAAATAATTCGGAGTTCCACACGTGGCATAGCGGTCCACTAATTAACATACAATATATTATTTAAGCAACATATATATATATATATATATATATATATATATATATATATATATATATATATATATATATATATATGTAAGTATATATGGTACGTAGAAAAGTCCACGCATGCAATGCATTCTCCAAACTATGCCTCGCCGTTAAGTTCGCCGTTTTCTGCAGCTTTCTTCCCCTCCAGCTCTCTCAGGGTGGACCGCCACCGGAAAAAAGTTCCGAACAGAGCCTCCGTGTCTTCCAGCGTTCTGCCCTGAGTTTCCGGGAGCAAGGCGAAGAAGTATAGCCAAGCTATGGCGGACAAGCCGGCGTAGAGGAAGAAAGCGCCGCCGATGGTGATGGCTTTGTAGAGGGAGATGAAGGACATTAGTACACTGCCGCTTAGAAGGCGGTTGAGCGCCACCGCGATGGCGCAGCCCTGGGCGCGGAGGCGGAGGGGGAAAACCTCGGAGCTGTACACCCACGGGATGGGGCCGAGGCCGATGGAGAAGAAGGCGACGCAGGCGAGCGCCATGACAACGCACCACGCGACGGCCCACGGCAGCTGTTCCGTCGTCCGGTCGACGACGGTTAAGCCGGCGGCCAAACACAGGAGCGAAACCACCACGCCGCCGACGCTCGTCAGGAGCAAAACTCGCCGGCCGACTCTGTCCAGCAGAAAAGTGGCGACCAGACAGAAAATCATCTTCGAGAATCCGACGCCGATGCTGGCCAGAAGCTGCTGCTTTTCCGTCTCGATTCCGGCGTTCTCGAATATCTTCGGACTGTACATAACCACCGCGTCCACCGCGCTCGTCTGCTGGAAAAAATGAATCCCGACGCCGGCCAACAGAATGTGCAGGATTTTCGGGGTCGGATGGACGAAAAGCTCCTTCCAAACCCCCTTGCCGCCGCTCATCTCCTTCTTGATTTCCACGACGTCGTCTTTGCAGTCCGCCGGAATGCCCGCCGCTTCTTTAATATCCGCTAATCTCTGCTGGGATTCTTCCATGGAATCAGAAGTTTTGTCCAAAACTTTCTTGGCGTCTCGGAGGCGGCCCTGCATCACCAGCCACCGCGGCGACTCCGGCATGGAGAGAACGCCGACCGCTAGTATGGCCGCCGGAACCAAACCTACTCCCAACATCAATCGCCATCCCAAGTGTAATGGAAGCCTTGCAAATGAGTAATTTGCAACAAATCCAAGTAAAACACCTGTAAATTAAATATTCACCAATTTTCAAAATACAAAAATTATAATAAATTGATAATGAAAATAAATTTTGTGATTTTTAAAATTAATTTAGTATCAAATCAATCAATTTACAAACATAAATATAGAATTATATAGGATGATCAATAAACGCCGGAGAAGTAAACTAATTTAAGCCGTCTATTTAGGAGGAATATATATATATATATATATATATATATATATATATATATATATATATATATATATATATATATGAGTAAATATCTAAAATGGTCCCTCGACTATAGCTAAATTCACAAATTGGTCATCGACTTTAAATTTCAACCAATTAAGTCCTTAACTTTGCAATTTTGACATGATTTGGTCCTCCATCTATTTGACGTTTGTTGACCGCGATCTTTGAGGATATATATGTAGTTTCACGTGCAAAGCTCAAGAGAACGCTCTTGGAGGTGACATCGTTGTTTCGAAGGGGGAAGTGCTTCTCCGCTTACTGCTTGGGGATCACGAGCCGGTTCAGCTTAGAGAACGTTCTTGGAGGTGACAGCGCTGTTTTGAAGGGGGGAAGTGCTTCTCCGCTTGATGCTTAGGGATCCCGAGCTAGTTCAGCTTGCCTACATCGCTTGGAGTCACGGCTTTCTCGAAGAGCCACTCTAGGGACTTCGGCGATCTATCAATCAAAAGCTATAATCTCTCCGGCATGGGATGCAGCGCCCACAGTGGATTCAAATGTAACAGTGCGGTCTATAAATGCAACCGGAACCTTAAAAAACTGACGATGGACCATGAAATTACATATATATCCTAAAAAAGTGCAGTCAACAAACGGTCAAATAGACAAAGGATCAAATTGTGTTAAAATTGCAAAGTTAAGGACTTAATTGGTTGAAATTAAAAGTCGAGGACCAATTTGTGAATTTGGCTATAGTCGAGGGACCATTTTGGGTATTTACTCTCTCTCTCTCTCTCTCTATATATATATATATATATATATATATATATATATATATATATATATATATATATATATATATAGAGAGAGAGAGAGAGATTCGCACTGGTTCGCACTCCTATGTGAATACGCACCCAAGAGAAATGTGAATGCATGCTAGCCATCCACGTGTCCAGATCAACGAATTAGATATAATTTTAAAAGACGCGTTGACATTTCCTTAAATAACTCAAACTTGGTGCATGTATAAGAAGAATGTAAATGTGTTATAAGTGCAAGTAGTTGGTGCACATTTGCAAGTAAAAAGTACAGGCAAATTCACTTAGAAGTGCACCTACTTTCACATATAAATGCAAGTAATTTTTACCTTGTTAACATTCGTGCACCTAGGTACAACTATTTATTGCTATAGATGCACCTAGTTATAACGTCAATGCACTTAGTATTGATGTTTAATGTAAATTTTACTTGCACATATAATACATTTTACATGTATTTGTAATACATTTTACTTGAATGTAATTTTGTCTTGATCGGGTGCACCTACTTTCACCTAAAAGTGCACATATTTTCACGGGTATGTAATTTTGCCTTGTTAACATTCATTGATTAGGGTGCACTTACTTTCACCCAATTATAACTATAAGTGCACCTAGATCTGAACACTGTTGAGTTATTCGCATTTCGCTCCTGGGCGCGGCATTCGCACCTGAACCGCAACTCTATATATATATATATATATATATATATATATATATATATATATATGTGTGTGTGTGTGTGTGTGCGCGCGCGTGTGTGTTTACTTATTTAGATTCATTTTGAAATGGAATCATTGGGGAAATTCTTTAAGAATAAGGAATATTATTTATATTTTTGGATAAAATTATTTAGAAAATCAAAAGGACCAGTAAAACGTACCAAAATTGATGAATACTTCAGGGAAGGAAGTGAGGAAGCCGCGGATGGAGGCGGGCGCCACCTCGGCGGTGTACACCGGAGCGATCATCAGGGCGTATCCGACGCCGATTCCGGCGACAAAGCGACCCACCATAAGGAAAGAGAAGCCGGTGGCGAAGCCCATCAAGAGTGCGCCGACAAAGAAAATGCCACCCGCCAAGACTATGGTGTAGCGGCGGCCGATCCAGTCGGAAGTCCGCCCCGCCACGGCGGATCCGACGAGCGAGTATATGTTGATAGTTCCAATCAGCAGCTCCACCTGCACGTCGGAGACCTGCAGATCCTTCTTTATATAAATTGATGCTCCACTCATCACTCCTATGTCTACATTTCGGAATTACATTCATGAGAATATATATATATATATATATATATATATATATATATATATATATATATAATCACCAATTTAATAACAACAAATTATACCAAAAAATTTGGAGTTACCAATTACCATAGCCAAGTAAAACGGAAGTCATGGAGGCCAACATGGAGCAGGCTAAGGCATATTTGTTCCGTTTTGGTTTCTTGGGAGGGTCTTCGTGGACCGCCGCAAGGAGTGGTGGACTGGCCAGAGGATGGCCGGAGTGAAGTCCGGCGGATTTCCGGTCAGCCATGGTCGGAATCCAGCGCGTAAACAGGTCAAAGAAGAAGATGATGAAATGAGATTCAGATGAAATTGGCAGATTCGATGCAATATATGTTTTTATATATATTGGCTTAAAGGGCCATGAATGCAAGAAACGTTTGGAAAAGTGAAGGGGATCGGATGATGATTTTGAAGAGGTTGGTGTGCTTGTAGTAGTACTATATTATGGAGAAGAATAGTATATATATGCGTTCCACCAAGAAAAAAAAAAGTACTCCGTATATATTTGCGTGTATGTGTTTTTGTGTGTATATATAGTACTATTACAAGCACACCAACATATCATTTATATAATAAAGTTATATGGTTTGGTAAATAATTAATGTTACAATTAATACCACAACATCTTTTTTCAAAAAAAAACACATAACATTTAAAAAATAAAATAGCTATATATTATATAATCATATAAAAATGTGTTCAATTATAGTTTAAATTTACACATACAAAATTTGAAATTTGCTTTCCAAATGTAATTATCTTAGTTATTATTCGTACCAGGATTATGTGGTCTAATGGTACCCAAGTTGGACTTCCATTTGAAAGGTTGTGAGTTTGAGTCTCAGTAGGTTGAGAAAGTATACGAACAGATACTACAATGTAATAGAGCCAGTAGCATTCAAAAAAAAAAAAAATCTTAGTTATTATTCGTATTGTGAAAATTATAATATGTATGAAATACAATTAAGAATAAATCAATGTAATTATGTAAATTATCTCTATAAGTTTATTTGCATATGCACACAATTAGAGATTATATTAATCATACAAAATTATAATTATAATTTTAATTGTAATTTTGTATTCTATAAAAATAATAAATACTTGACCAATGAAAGCTCAAAAATATTATTATATTAAATAATTTAAAATATTTTAGTTTTTCTATTTTTCATTTATATTTATAATAACATAATTTTTTCCCGTGCATCGCGCGGGTGAATTACTAGTTATATATATATATATATATATATATATATATATATATATATATATATATTTTAATTGTTAGTCAATTATACTAATATATGTGCCGTGCATGTTACAAAATAGTGTTAATGAATTATGAAGTTTGATGGGAAAATTTTTTTATCAATCCAACAAAAAAAAAAAATCTTTTTTATTGTATTTAATAAAATTATATATCTACAAAGGCCTTGTGGTCGAGCCACATAGCTGTGACTTCTCAAATGAGAGGTATCAGGTTCGAATCCTGGTGTGGGACATTAACTCTGTGTGCTTCAATAGGTTGAGAAAATATGTATGAACATATACTACATTGTAATAGAATCAGTAGTATTCAAAAAAAAAAAAATTAAAATTATATATCTACAAAAAGAGAAGATAGAATTGGGAATATACTAATTGATACTAAAAAAGTTCTGAGCCATCAAAATGTTAACCTTTTTGGAATATGCATGCAATTTAATTTTGTATAGATATCAAAATCAGCATAATTAATATTTATAACTATCCAATTAACCATTTTCCTTATACAATTTTCTATTCTCTCCTTTTCTTTTCTTTTTTTTTTTTCGAGCTATAACTTTAAAAAAAAAAAAGTACAATATGCATAAATAATTAATTAATATGCTAAGAGATAGCTAACCAGATAAGGAGAGAGAGAGTGTGTGTGAAAAAAAAAAAAAAAAAAAACTTATTCACAATGGGTACGGTAATTATTTTCATCATAAAGTATTAGTTTGTCCGAGAACGGGTGGTCCAATGAGTGAAACATGATTCTCATATTCTTTCAGTCATCGCATATAGGGTCTTTCTAGTACTGTTTTCTTCTTTTTGTGAGTTTGCGCGTATTACGTAAGAGCGAAATTCACACCCTTAGTAAGTGGTTGAGTGTTTCCCTCGTCATCCGAAAAAAAAATATTATTTTCTTCACTTGAATTATTTATACCTCATAATATTCACATTCAAATTTGACAATAAAATTCTTTACAACACTATCCTTTTAGACTGCAAATTCCTCATGGATCGGTTCAGCTCGTGTGTTCTCATACACACGCTCCGGGAAGGAAATCGCTGTGCGAATTTCATGACTAACCTGGGTCAAAGTGGATGCTAGGGAGCCACAATGTTTGGACACCCGCCATATGACATTAAAAACATTCTGGAGATGGATGCTCGCGGTGTTTTCACTTGAAGAATCTTCTAATCTTTTCTGGGGCCTTCGGTCCCTCCTTTTCACCAAAATAAAAAATAAAAAATTATATTGAATCCTGATATATACTGAATGATATGATGCAAAAATAAAAATAAATATGGAAAGTGTTGCTTATTTATTGGAAAGTAGATGTTATATATATATATATATATATATATATATATTGAATGCCACTAGCTCTATTACATTGTAGTATCTGTTACACAAAGAGGGAGATAATAACACTTCTACTGAGGCTCGAACTTACAATCTTCCAAATGAAAGTCCAACCTGGGTACCATTAGACCACATAGTAACTAAATCAATTATTAAAATCTTTCATATTTATATGAGATAATAAATCAAATTAATAAGAAGAATCCTTTGAGATAAAATTATATATTATATATTATAATAATATTATCCTATAAACATATTTCACCTCCTTACGAAGTGCACTAAGGTACAAGAAAAAAATAAATTTATGAATGAAAAATTCGTAGGTAAATTACTGTTTGAACATGGGACGATGAATGTCGTCGTGACACATCTCCAATGTACAAAGATGTTATCATAATGCACTCACATGATTGTAGACCCTCAGCTCCACTCATTTTTGTTGTGCATTTATATATGGTTTAATTTATGGGTCACAGACTAACACTCTCGAACTCTTATGTTCTCTAACATTTTACTTATTCATATTTTGCCGATAACATAATTTATGTTGTCACTATTTAAATGTGTCTTAAGTGAAACTGACTTTATGATCTTAGTCGACAAAAAATCACATTAAATTAAAATTAATTTTGATTGCTCATAATTAATTGACCGACTTAAATCATAAAGATCAATATTAAACAGCTCCACCAAAAATATAATCGAACTTAGAATTTTGTGAGTATCAAACCAAATTGGTGATGATCTCCATACTTGTTAGTTGTTATACTTACCGTACAACTAGGGGTGTGTTTGGTTGGTGGATTTTGCCCATAGGAATGAGTATGAACGTAATTGTTGTTGTTTGGTTGATAGGTTTTTAGAACACTACTATGTGTTTCGAATACTCCATCAATTGAAAAACCCATACCCAAATATAATAAGGGTTTTATTCCCTTATTCATTTTCAAGCACTCTTATTAGTAACCATTCTCATTCTACCCTACTACCAAACATGTTAAATACTTTCACCAAAACCCATTACTATTACCAAGTATTTGATACGCATTTCGATTCTGATTCCTATGTGCGAACCAAACACACCCTAGGTATTGAGTCAAAGAGTCTAGCTAGGTTGTACGAGTCCTTGTTCCAAGTTGCTTATTATTATATTTTAGTGGTCCCATTATTACGTAGTTCATATGAACTTAGGTATATACTATATGTACGTGTTTATTATATAGTTTAAATTGCTTTATGCAAATTTGACAATGTTGTCTGACTTTTTTTATTATATTCATTAATGAGTGGTTAAGTGTAATACTATACGAGTTACTGTTGAATTGTTTATACTTTTGGTTGAATCTCCCACCTCAAGGACTTTATACACTTTGACCTGACAGAATATTTGAGGGGATGTAAATTACAATGATTCAATAGCTCAGCAGTCAGGGCTAAATGCATGTACGCACAAGGGAGTTACTTATTTTGGACATAATAATTTTCACACTACCGACGTCAAGGTTCGAACCTTGGTCTCTTCTCCTAACTACTGCCTAGTTAATTAAGTCCATATGGACTTGAATTGTTTATACTTAGCAATGGTGTTGGATTGGGGGTATCTTTAGTGTGCTTTAATAAGTGTGTGTCCTATAAAAGTGTACATATTATAATTTAATATAATTAAATTGCTCTATGCAAAAATTTTTTGGTCAAATCATAAAGTATCCTGAGTAGACCCTAACTGTAGGAGGCTCCTTTAAATTTGTACCGTACTCAAAATAATCCACATTCACATCGGATCGATCCAATTAAAGAGCAAAGTAGTGGCTAGATTGATTGCTCTATGCAAATTTGACAATGTTGGTAGACTTTAAATAAGATTCATTAATAAGGATAGTACTAGTCTACTACACATGTTATTATTGAATTTTTTTGGAGTGATGAGAGAAATTCGTAGTCACCATATATACACTGAGTAAATTAAATATCGTCATGTGACCTTAACTAATCGGTAAAGGGTAACGAGGAGATAAACCAACCTAGTTTATTTATAGCTGATGGGTTCAAACTAAAAAGACCAATATGCCGCTTCCATTGAAAATCAAAACTAAATTTTTATGATTATCAAACCAATAACGATCTAACCAACTTGATTAAGATTGTCCTGTTATTGTTTAACACTTATGTTTGGTAGTGATGTTGGATTGGGGTTTTTTATTGTACTTTAGCAAGTACACTAGTCCTTGAACTTTTCGACACGTCGCAGACAGTGGCATCGATCTTTAACCTAGATCGAACAGCCAACGTACAGCTCCTCGTACCTTAGTGACATGAAGGTCCTGGTTGTGGACCGTATACACTAAACAAGGCAATTTATATTGTGGATCAAGGTCAGCACTGTATTGTAAACTATGATTTAATACACATAATTTGATTTTATAATGTACGAAATTCATATTTATAATGCATAATAGATCCTGGTCCAAGATATAATGATTGTGAAATTGAGACTTGAACTTTAGAACACGTCGCATGGCTAGCTTCTCACCACAAAATACGGTACGACTAATGTGAGTTACGTGACCATCAATCATTTTATAAGGAGTAATTGCTTTTGACAAATCAAAACGATGCCTTGAGTGTGGAATGAAATGATCGATTTAGTCAATTTTATCACGAATTTATATAAACATAATTAGCTTCGTCAAAATGATAATTGCCTAATTACATTGTTACAACTTTGACCTCAAGTAAAAATGATCTATTGACTTTCTTGGTTTGAATTAATCAGCTATCGTAATCTAGGCCAGGTTACCTTATTGTGGTCATTTGC